AAATTTTATTCAATATTTCATGACACAAGAGTAATTGACATTAATATTAAAAAGCATTAACAGCAGATGACTAAAACTTTTTCAGGTTATATTTAACATATGCCTCACAATTATCTGACTGTGATGTTCTTCCATCCCATTCTGCATACTACTGCCAAATACTCTTTTTTTAACTAACACTTTGATCCGTCAATCATCCACCCCCACACCTACAATCATTCTCCACCACCTACTTCAACTCCAAATGGCTCCAAATCACAGTGCTTCAGACAAGGTGATGGGGAGGGCGATCTGCAGCAAGATTACAGGAAAGAAAAGATCTCCCAGCCCGGTCACATAACAGAGGCAGCCTGGGTCTCCCCAGCTTATCCCTCTCGCATTACAGTGGAGTTGATTCAGACTCATAGCAACTCTACAGGGCAGTGGAGAACTGCTCTGAAGGGTTTCTGAGATGGTCAAGCTTGATGAAGCAGACAGCCTCATCTTCCTCCCCATGGAGCAGCTGATGCTGACCAACATTTAACCCACTGTGCCACCAGGGCCCCTAGACCTACCCAGTGCAGGCCAGATTCCTGGAACTGCGCAACTTCTGTTTCTGATTGCAGCCGTTCTGACATCAGCCTCGCAGATCTATGTCTCCTTGACACCGACCTAACACACCAAGTCTTTACACAGTTTCCGGATGTTTTATAGGAAGTTTTGGTTTTGGTTTTTGTAAGACATAAAATGAATACAACAAATGTCCGTTGCTGTTGGTTGCCAACCAGTCGCTTCCGATTGGTGAACCCACCCCAATGCTACCTTTTGTTTAAGGCCCGTACAAAGATCCAAAAGGTAAATACCAAAACACCCGTATGAGCCATCAGTACCTCTTGATGAAGTTCATTCTGCTTTATTTAGTATTTTTTCTGAATTGCTTGAGTTTTTACAATGAGCAAGTATTGCTTTTCAAGTCGGATAAACAGGTGCGTGTTACCACACAGCCAACACCTTGAAAACTGCTTAGTGAAAGAAGTCAGATACAAAAGGCTATATATATATTGAATGGTTCCATCTGCTGCATATAAAATATCCAGAATAGGTAAATCCATGGAGACGAAAGTAGATTAGTGGTTGTCAGGGTGTGCGGGAGAAGAGTTGGCAGGACCAAAATGGTTAATAAGCACAGGGCTTCTTTTTGGGTGATAGAAATAGTCTAGAAATAGATGGTAGTGATGGCTTCACCCATACAGTGAATACACTAAAAAACTACTGAATACACTGTACACTTCAAGATGGCAAATGTTACTTAAATCACATCTTAATATTTAAGCCAAAAATAAAATAATTTTTCACTAAATAAAAATAAAACAGTCATGCCACGTAAATTTTGGAAAAAATGGAAACAAAATAGGATCAATGGGCTTACAATTTGACGTTTCAGACGCAGCATCCACCCCCCTAAATCCAGATGCAGACTCGGTCCCTCCTATTACCTGTATGACCTTGGTCAGTTACCATCCTGAAAGGGGGAGCATTCCGAGGACACACCATATGATGGGGATGGAGGGTTCACTGAAGACATGGAAAGCACAGAACAGTGTGACACACAGTAAGTGTTCTATTAAGTGACTTTATTACTATTATTAGTCCCAGTGCTAGAGAAGGTATTGAAAAATAACCATTCAAACCAACTCTGAGAGTAAAAATTAGCACAATTTCCATAAGGATAATATAGTCATATATACTGAAAAGGGGATTATTTTCATATTTTAACCCAGGAATCCTGTTTCATGGAAATTACAATAGGGATAGAGGAAAAAATAGACACTGTATGTACTAGATGGCCACCTTCAGCAAAAAGAAGAGGGGAAAAGCAACCTACTAACAGGTAAATAAGTAAATGTTCTGAAATTGATTGCATGCACCTTCTTAATATGACTGAATGATGAAACTGTATGATCTGTGGATGATACGCCAATAAAACTATTTTTAGAGACCTAAATGTCCAATCGTTTAGAATTAATTAAATTACCGATAAAATATTATGCTGCCATTAAAGTATGTGGTAGAAACACTTGCATTTAAGGTACAATTATTGATCTTCACTCAGCAGGAGCAAGAGAAAAAAAGGAACTGAGATGGCAGAGAAGAAACGCGCCCAAGGCTGATAGCCAAACGGCATGAGTTTCATCCGCCCTGAGCACAGAAGAACTCAACGACACCCATCACCACTACCACATTCCAATCAGGGCCACAATCAATGGATCCTGACAGAATGGAAGAAAACCATGAAGCGAAATGCAAATTCTTAAAAAACCCAAGCTTACTAGACCAGATGAGACCAGAGGACTCCATCAAATAGAGACTATCACCCTGAGATCGACCTTAAACCTTAAGCCAAAACTATCTCCAAAGGTCACCTTTTAGCAAAAGAATAGATTGACACACAAAAATAAAGAAGCAGGAGCAGGGAGGGTGGGAAAAATGAGGAGCTGATACCAAGCGCTCAAGTAGAAAGCAAATGTTTTGAGAATGATGATAGCAATAAATGTACAAATGTGCTTAACACAATGGATGGAGATATGGATTGTGAAAAGAGTTGTACAAGCCCCAATAAAATGATTAGAAATAAAGAATGTTATGTGAGTGCAGTGCTCCACTTAAAAACTCACCTATGTAAGACCAAAAAAATGAACAATTATTCTAAAGTGGTAAGAAGATGATAAGGGGACAGGGGAAACTGGAGTACTGGGGACTGAACTCAATGAACGAGAATGTTGTTGCTAGGTGCCATGGAGAAGTGGGCTCACTGTAAATAAGTTTAGTTATCTCATTGAACCATTTGGATAGAGACTGTCAAATAGGGGTCTAATTTGCAGTATAAACTTCACTGAAAACACACTAAAATCTCTTTTTTAATTGTTTTGCTATGGAAAGAAGGCCATTACCCATTGTGAAGCACAAAAAAAAGTAGTAAGTTATAGTCTCTTTAGTATTTTGCAACATATACATGTTTACAAATGTATAAGTCTAGAAAGGCATCCAACACAAACCCTCCATTAATTGTTTGAATCACACTATCACTCTCACAAGAAGGAAAACACGCTGTGGTCTACTTCTAATAGGTGGAATAGGAGGTAGCCAGAACACAGGACGTCGCCTACAAAAGCAAAATCCTGCAATACAACCTGCACATTGGCAGTGGAGAGTCTGAATTAACTCCTGTAAAGGAGTTGAAAGAAGACTTCACAGAACTCTAATGTTTTAGAACAAGTTCCAAACCTGGAGCTCCAATATTTGATTGTGACTAAATTATTTTAGCCAAGTGTTAAACCACTGTGGAGTAAAAAGCGGGCGTAGCAATCCCTCACAGGATTGTAAGGATTACATGGAGTTCTACAGAGAGCACTGTTACAAAGAGTACCGAAAGCTATGAGGGATACTTTTCTTCTTTGGCTGAATCACCAAACCAAAATGCCAAGACCTCAAACTATTATCTATTCTAAAACAGTAAAAGGTTTAGTTTGATTGATTCAGGGTTTTTTTGTTTTAGTTTTTTCTCTTACACCCTCCCATTTCCCCACCCCCCAAAAAACCAACCTCACTGCCATCGAGTCGATTTTTAACTCATAGTGATCCTATAGGACAGAATAAAACTGCGACAGTGGGTTTCGAAGACAGTAAATCTTTACAGAAACAGAAAACCTCATCTTTTGCCCTGGGAGTGGCTGGTGGTATCGAACTGCTGACTGCGTGGTTAACAGACCAGCAAGTAAGCCACTACCCCACCTTTTTAAACCCCAGGGTTAGTGAAATGAGAATTGGGAAGCAGTTGTACTCTAGACCCAAAATTAGAAAGCAATAACAGTAAACCCAACTGCACACCTAAAAATATATATATCGAAATAAAATGGCAGGCAAATATATCTCAAGCCAGCACTCATGAACTTGAGACTTTTATTTCAAAAGAAATAAAAGAACTAGGAAATAAGAACATAAGATTGCTCTTAACTTGTGAACAACAGAGAATCTCAATATATCAAAGCAGCTATAAACACAGAAGTGATAAGAGCAATACCAGCAATTTAGATCCGCTTGCAAAACATTAGATGAATAGCTGACACGGCAAAATACACTGAACAGGAGAGTTCTGTGCAATAGAGAATATTAAAGTCAAAACCATTATCAAGAAACAGAAGACGATTTTTCTGGTATAAAATGAAATAATCTCCATATGAGTATTACGAGAATGCATAGAGGAATGGCTGTCATCAAAGATTTCTTCTTCGTCATTTTCCACTTAACTTAAATTTTCTATAAGCAAGCGAACTGTGCTCTTATAACACATAAAACCAGTGCAGACACCCACCACCACCCCTGCCGCCACTCTCAGAGTATTTGCACAAAGTAAGAGAAATGGAGCTGCAACTGAAACTATAATGCCTGCCAAAGTTTTTGAAGGTAGAAGAATGAGTTAAGAATTTTCAAATCTAAAGACTTTTCAAAAAATGAGCCAACTGAGACATGAAAAATACATGACATTTTTGAGAAGTGGAAGGTTTTGAATACTAGCAAAAGATTAACAATAAATCAAACCACATAATAAATTAAAACCCTGTACTAGAACATTTTAAGATTTAAACATACAATTTCAAAGGAAGAGAAGTCTGCCATGAGGAGAGAAGTCTGCCAACCCACTAAATGCCTCATTTCTCCCCAGAGAACATAATAATGGAGCTAATAATAGGAATCATGAAAATAGTTCTCTTAAAACAATGTTCCTAACAATGGTAAGGGAAAAAGGAGGAGAGAGGGGGTTAAATGAGTTGAAGTTTTCTCCCAACCCAGCTTAAAAGAAACTGTAATCTTCAATCCCATTAGTGAAATCACATAAATAGAGAAAATAGGGGGTAATAAATATGTACTTAGAAAATGACTGGCTATAACAGAATTTCAAGCCCTGTGGACACCAGACTTCCGGGAGCCAAGGAAGGTGGATGAAGCCCGGAAATGATTACCTGAGATCATCGTTAAATTTGAAACTAAAATGTCCCCTGAAGTCTCCTTAAAAATCAAACAATAGTTTAACTCAACTAGTAACAAAAATGAAATGCCTGCCTTGAGCCTTGCACACTTTTAAGGTCTACTTACAGAGTCGCTCTCTGAGTTGGAATTACTCGAGGTTTGCTTTTATATTAGGGCAACGTGGCAAAGCAACTCAAAAGATCACGTGGGAAAAGGAACAGTGAGTTTATATTCATGGAAGGGGAACAACCAAAATAGGCAGGTGGAACGGCTGCACAATTCAAAGAGAGGAATCAATGTCACTCGGTTGTAACATAAAGAAACTCTTGAGCTGATGATGTGTGTTACTGGGCATATTCTCAGTAATTTAAAAAAAAACCTTAAAAAACACAGAAACAAGTATTGTTGACGATGCCGAGAAATCAGAAACCCTCATATATATTGCTGGTAGGAATGTGATATGATATAGCCATTTTGGAAAAAGTTTGGCAACTCCTCAAGATGTTAAACGTGAAGTCACAGTATGACGCAGAATTCTGCTCCAAAATGCACACCCCAGCATGAAGACAGAAACTCACACAAAGACCTGGATACCAGTGTCCGAGTAGCATGATTCAGACTACCCAGAGTGGTAACAATCCAAACGGACATTAACTGATAATGGATAAACAAAATATGCTATAGCCATATATCACACTTAAGTATATTATTTGATCATAAAAATAAGTGAAGTTCTGATATATGGTATGACAAAGAGTAACCTTGAAATCATTATGCTAACTGAAAACAAAAAAATACATAATGTATCATTTTATTTATATGAAGTGTACAGAAAAAAATCTGCAGACGGACAATAGATTATGGTTGGCTCTCAAGCTAAGGATGGGGAGGTTATGACAGCTAATGAGTAGCTCTCTATCCCAAAATTTCTGAGGGAAGGCAATAAAAATTTCCTAAAATTGACTGTGTGATCAGTGCATAACTCTATAAACATATGAGCTATCACTGAACTTTTTTTTTAAAGGATGGAAGATAGCACCCATCATGTAAATGGGCTGAAGTGTTGAATTTCTATAAAAGTAGACGTGGGGGTAAATCCCAGCATTTAAAAACTCTACAAGGCAAAGGAAACTCTAAAAGGAAATCCAATCAATACAACCATTGTTCAAATTTGTGCATCAACCATTAATGCTAGTGAAGAAATTAAAGGATTCTACCAATCAACATCTTCAGCCAGAAACTGATCTCAAACATGCAATCAAGAGGCATTGATTTGAGATTGGAATGCAAAGGTTAGAAACAAAGAGGAAGGGATAGCAGTTGGAAAATATGGTCTTGATGATAAAAATGAAGCTGGAAATTCCAAGATAAAATTTTGCAATCCCAACAACTTCTCCATAACAAATATATATATATTTAACAACACAAAGGCAATTTATACACACGGGCATCTTCAGATGGAATATACAGAAGTTAAACTGACTACATCTGTGGGAAAAGACTAGAGAGTATCTCAATATCAGCAGCTAAAACTAGGCTGGGGACTTTCTGTGGAAGGGACCACCAATTGCTCAAATGAGGGGGTATCCCCCCGAAAAAACAAAAGCCTCCCACCCCAAATTTTTTAACAAACAACCACATCACCTTCAAAGTATTTTCCATTATACTAAATACATTTGTCAAATCTGAGATTCCATTCTTGAAAGCATTTTTCAAACTTATCAAGGGGGAAGGGGGACGTGAGGAGGGAGGGGAAAAAAATAAGGAACTGATACCAAGGGCTCAAATAGAAATCAGGTGTTTTGAGAATGATGATGGCAACATATGTACAAATGTGATTGGTACAATTGATGCATGTATGGATTGTGATAAGAGTTGTATGACCCCCTAATAAAATGATTTTTTTTTAATGGAAAGAATGTACAGTCATTGTACCAGAAAGAACTAGTCAACATTCCACCATTTCAGGAGGTTGCAAATGAGCAAGAACCAATGGTGCTGAAGGAAGAAATTCAAGCTTCAATGAAAGCATTAGCCAAAAACAAGGCTGAAATATTTCAACAAGCTGATGATACAGAAGTACTCACTCGTCTATGCCAGGAAAAATGGAAGACGGCTACTTGGCCAGCTGACTAGAAGAGATCTGTGTTTGTACCCATTTCAAAGAAAGATGACCCAACAGAATGCTTAGATTATAGAAAACTATCATTGATATCACATGCAATTAAAACTCTGCTGACGATCACCCATCGACACTTGCAAGTTGTGGTAGTACGCTGACAGGGAGCTTCCAGAGGTTCGGGCCAGATTCAGAAGAGGATGTGGAACAAGGGATATTACTGCTGTCAGATGGATCTTGGCTCAAAGAGAGTATCAAAAAGATGTTCACTTGTGTTTTATTGCCTATGCAAAGGCAATTGACCTTGCGGATCATAACAAACTATGGATAGCCTTGAGAAGAATGGGAATTCAAAACACTTCATTGTGCTCATGGGGACCCTGTATATGGATCAAGAGGCACTTGGGGGAACAGAACAAGGACATACCGCAAGGTTTAAAATCAGGAAAGGTGTGTGCAAGGGTTGTAGCCTCTCACCATACTTACTGAATCTGTATGCTGGGCAAATAATAAGAGAAACTGAATTATATGAATAATGTAAAACCAGGATTGGAGGAAAATAACAAACCCACACTTGCTGTAAATGAGATCCAGGTCCTTCGTTATGAAGTCTTCAGTGTGGATTACAACTCAATGTAAAGACCAAAACCCTCACAACTGGACCAACAGGTAACATCATGATAAATGGAAAAAAGATTGAGGTTGTCAAAGATTCCATCTTGCTTGGATGCACAATCTAGCTCATGGAAGCAGCAGTCAAGAGATCAAACAACTCATTGCCCTGGGTAAATCTGCTGCATAGCCTACTTAAACGTGTTGAAATGCAAGATATTACTTTGAAACTAAGGTGCACCTGAGCCAAGTCATGTTATTTTCAGTGGCCTCATTTGCATGTGAAATAAGGAAGACCAAAGAAGAATGGATGCGTTTGAATTGTGGTGCTGGCAAAGCATACTGAAAGCACTGTCAAATGAGCAAACAAATCTGTTTTGGAAGAAGTACACCCAGAATACTCCTTAGAGGCATTCATCCCATGTACTTTAGACATGTTGTCAGAAGAGAGAAGTCCCTGGAGAGGGAAATCATGCTTGGTACAGTAGAGGGGCAGCCAATAAGAGAAAGTCCCTGGACAAGATGGACTGATTCGGGGACTGCAACAATGGGCTCAAACATAAGAACAATTTTGAGGATGGCAAAGGACCTGCAGTGTTTCACTGTTGTTCTTCGAGTGGTTATGAGTCAGAACTGACTCAATGGTTCCTAACAAGAACAAAAGGCAAACACAAATCCCAAAACAAATGGGTGGTTCTATTTTCTTCTATAGGATTGCAATGAATTCAAATAACCTCACCAGAAATGGGTTTGGGTTTTTGTTATTTTTCACGAGGGGTAACCACCCCACCAACCCCCCCCAAAAAAAACAACAGAAAAAAGCTCTGCTGGGCAGAGCTTTTGTGGTACCCATTTTTCCTGCTAGGCAAGCACCAAGCATCTCGCTCTGAGTTAATACACCCAGTGGTGTCGACTGGAAAGGTTCTCTCTGGTCACAGTGAATTTTTTCATAAAAGCAGTTTTACTCAAACCTTGTATTTTGTGATGGCTGATTTAAGAGAACAGCATGCAGCTGTGAAATTTTGTTTCCTGCTCAGAAAAAAATGCCTTAAGACCTGCTGTGATGGTGAACACAGCTTACAAGGACAGCACTATGGGAAAACTCAAGTGTACAGGGTTTTTTCTCGTTTCAAAAAGATGAAACGTCAATTGATGACAAAGCTCACTCTGGACACCATCAGCTTCGCAGCCAGATGACAATGGTGACTGGTAGTGCATTTGGAGTTTGTTCCACCACGTCAGACTGTTAATAAAGCTTTCCACTTAGAGGTTCTGAAAAGATTGTGTAACAGTGTGCGACAAAAAGGCCTGATTTGTGGCAGACAGGGGACTGATTTCGTCACCACAACAATGCACCTGGTTCACACAGCCATCTCGGTGCACCAGTTTTGGGCAAAAACAGCATGCCTCTCTTGCCCAACGCACCTCACTCACCTGACACTGCTCTATGCGACTTCTATTTGTTTCCTTGAATGAAGAGGGGCATGAAAAAACAGCGATTTGATGACGTACAAGAGGTGAAGGAAAAAACTAGGGAGGTGATGTCAGCCATCCAAACAGATGAGTTTGAAAATGTTTCCAAAAATGGAATCACAGATTTGACAAATGTATTAAGTATAATGGAAAGTACTTTGAAGGTGATAAGGTTGTTCTGTAAAAAAATTTAAATACATAGCTTTGAAAAAAATTCCACTTTGGGGGGGAGGTACCCCCTTGGATTTATTAGTTTATCAGGACTTCAGAGATACTTCCATTCGACCCTAACAGAAGATTAAAAAGCAGAACTAGTGAAATAATAGGTCCTAAAATAGAGTACCAAAAACAGAATGGAAACAAAACTGTGAAAAATAAGCCCATATCATGATAACCAGAGGTTTCCATTTTCCATTCACAGAATATGACAAGGCAATAAAAATTTTATAGTGCAGAACTGTTACACAGCACAAACTACACCTTCCTATTTGGCAGATCTCTGTTAAGTGGTAGCAGGGCAAACCAAAAATACATAGATAGGCTCACAGACAGGCAAAAAAGAGAATACGATAAGACAAATTGGTAAAATCAATAATCTAGATATTCCCATTATACTGTTCTTCTGGTCTTTAAGTTTAATTTGAAATTATTTCAATATTACTATACATTTTACAGTAAAATAAATAGTTAAATAACATGAAGACTGAAGCGCAAGGAAAAACATTTTTATAAAAAAAAGAGAGAAAAACACTACGCTGTCTTAGGTTCAGGTGTGTTCACAAGATTTGTTTCTATTCTG